TGTCCAAAAAAAGCTTCATTGGTCTCCTCACAGACACATGCAAAAATAGTGTAGCACCCTATTGCATTTTACAGTGCTCATTTCTCATGCTCTTCCATCCGACAATTCCTCCTGTTTATATACAGGTACACTGCCACTGATAACAATAATGATGATGATGATGATGAAAAAGCCTGAGCTGTTGTATATGCATGACGGGACTTTTAGTATCTCCCTGCGCCAGCAAGCCAAGGAGGGAAATGGTGGGCAGCCCAGGACTGCTGCACGTGTTGGAGTGCTGCGTGAGTTTTAGGCAATCCCTCCCTGCGGTTAAGATGGCGCGATTGGAGCAGATTATGCCTTATGTTTAGGTCCCCTCCCATAACATCTGCTTTCCTGATGAGACATTTTGTAATTCAAGTGCCCCAGGGACATCGGCCCTGCAAAATCTGAGATAGGTTTGAGGTCCGATTGGGTGCGGTGGGATCATTGGCCCTGCTCCGGAGGGGAGCGTGCTAGGGAGAGGCGTGGGTGGGTGCTGGCAGGGAGCTGCCATGTCTGAGGGCAGTGTGGAGAAGGACATGTGCTATCTGGGACAGGAGAGGAAAGCAAGCGGTCATCCCTGCTGGGTATTGCCTGCAGATGTCTGCAAGGCACAGGAGCTCACGGGTCCCCGAGCTGTCCTAGAATAGATGTGAGAGGCACTGGGCGGCAGGAGGCAACAGGGAGGGATGCTGTGTGGAGGGAGGAACCGGCAATGTAAGGGTTTGTGAGGCGCTCATAATTCCCTTTTCTGTTCAAGTAGGGAACTGGGGAGGGCATGCTCCAAGAGGAGCCGGCTGTCCCCTTGCCAAGGACTGGGGAGACAGTGCCCACAAGGGTCCAGCCCTTTGGGATCTGCTTTTTGTTGGCATCCCTCCCCCACCTCCCAGCTCTTTTGCGTGGGATGGGCATTGCTCTGTGCAGAGACCTCTCCCTGCATCCCCATCTGGCACATTTTTTTCCCTTAGATGACAGTTCAGGAAAATACAAGCCTGTGCCAAAATCCATACTTTATCTGGGACATTACTTAAGCTCATGCTTAACTTTGAACTTGAGTGAATTAAAGAGGATGGGAGCATGCATTTACAGTTAAGCAGAGATACAGAGATGGGCTGGAGGAGGAGATCAGAGTGCTCGCTGACCCGCACCCCTGTAAGGTGCTTCTGCAGCAATTGAGTTGCTCCTGACTTGCCACATCGTTTAGGCAGAGTCAAGCCCAGCACATTCCTACCATGGTTAGATTAATTTAATTAAGGTGCATGCTTCCAAAACATATAACGAGGTGACTTATCTGCTATGTGTCTGCTCTGGAACACAAAAGTACCGAACTCTCCTGGTTGTTACCTGCTTTTGTACAGCGGAGATAAACCAGTGTATACGCCAATGATGTGGTGCATTCGCCTAACCTGTTTTTGCACAGCGTCATTTGAGAAGTGAAATATGTCTTGTTGATGTCACGTCTTGTGGGTTGTCACCTCCCTATAACTTTGTGTTCCTCTTTCTCCTTTGGCACACAAACAGCATTAAAAAAAAACAAATCCCCTTCATGTGGTGCATAGACTGTTGAAGGGTATTTTTAACCTATTACACTCAGCCATATTTGGTTCTCTTTTCAAAATACAAATTCCCTGACATGCTCAGATATGCAGTGATGTTTTTTTTTTTTTCCCTCGGAAAAAAGAAATGTAATATATTCTGAGTGAACTCCATGTCCTCACGTATGGACTGAAATGGGCCTTTAGAGAAAATCGCCCTGCTTCTGCCAAACACTGATTCTCTTCCCTTTCGGGATTTATTGCACCAAATAGCCGCATTCATTTCTATTTCTCGGTTGAAGTTTGCAAGACCAGGAAAGGAAATAATGCAATTTTATAGTGTGATTATCAGAGTTCCTGTAAATAATTTTATTTGCTACGCTCCTTAATGTGGTGGGGCAGATCTTCTGCTGGGTGAGTTTCTGACCTGCATGAGAGACGAGAAGAAAGCGTGAACCCCAAAATCCCCTGTTCAGGCATGGCCCTCTGCTCTTCTGTTCGCCCAGCAGATGTTATAGGAAGGCTCTGTACAAGCCTATCTTCATTTCTGTGATCCTGACCACGTTCACTCATGCAAACCATAACCTAGAATTGAGTTTCCTTTTAATTGTTTTCCTGACACCAAGTTTTGTGGGTAGCTATATGCATTTTTACACTTCTAGTGTGATTTGCAGCTCCCTTTCCGCTGTTTGCTCAGCAAGTGATGAAGACAACTCCCACCGATCACTTGTCCCCAGCTACTTAACGCCACGAGAGAGGGTCCCCTCTGCTCCGAGGACACATAGAGCAGGTGACCTGCTTCCCAGGTCACCTTCCAGGAGTAGATACACCTCTGCTTTTCTCCCCTCTCCCTCCTCTAACCGCCGCCACTGTCACCATCAGGACAGATGAGCTGGGTTATGGAAATCGTTTTGCAGGAGCTGTGGGAGAAGGTGTTCTGTCTTTATCTGCCTCCTTACATGGCCGTGGCAGGTCTGGGGAAAGCAAAAAGCCTTGGAAACAAACGGAGCCTTGTCTTGAGGTGATGGAGATGTGTTTGAATAGAATAATGATGAAAGTGGCAAGTCAGCCAAAGATGTCATATTTCAAAAGGAGGTTGTTCCTTTAAGTGCCCATGAGATTTAGGAACCCGGCGACCCAGGGAAAGTTAGTGGCCTCAGGGCTTCTCTGTCCTTTGGTGCTTTTGAAATACATCATCCTTCCTTAAGACTATTAATATCAGAGCTATGTAAAGTCAAGTCTTCAAAAGAGAAATAAATGGCATAAAGAGCTATAAATAGGAAAAGGATATTCCAGAATCAACATCCTCTTAAATCGTTTTTCTCAGGGTGTAGATCCTTTTGGGGTAAAGTTATATATTTAAAATGTAAACTATTTGCCTACTGGGCACCTAATCCAGACTTCACTTTATTCTGTTTTTTTTTTTTTCCCTCCGAGAAAAGGGACCACATCAGGGAAGGCAAGCAAGGGAAAGCAATATCGAATGAAAAGGAGCAGGAGAAGTGAAGGGAGCAAAAGTAGGGGATGCTGCTGCACTAAAAGGAACAGTTCCAGTATTAGGATGATATACTGATCTAATAAACAGAGGGAATATGGGAATATACAGTTAAAGAGGAGGGGAAAGAGAGGCACATAGGAAATGAGACAAAAGAAAAAGGTTCAGAAGAAGAAGTTAAGAGCAGGTTAATTACAGACATTCCTTGAGGACAGTAGTCATTTACAAGTTTTGTCGCTTCCTTCTCTCTCTCTCTCTCTTTTTTTTTTTTTCTTTCTTTTTTTAAGTATTATAGCAATCTCTGTTAACACTGTTAACATCCTTTAGCCATGGTATCTACTTCACACTGTGGCTGAAACAGTTTCATTGTGTCTAAATAGTTTTCAGCAGCCATGAGTAAACACAGGACTTTCAGTGTAGTTTTCAAGTAGCTCTTGGAAAGATTTATTATTTTTTAATGATTTTACAATTTTTAGAACTTTATATTATATTTTTATAAAGAAGGATTTGTTCTACCCTTCCTCATCCCTTCCCCACGTAGACTTTGTCTGCTGTGTGCAGCCATGGAGGAGACACCCATTTTGGACACCCCAGCTAGGAGATGAAGCAGGCACGAAAACTCACTGGGCAGCCTGCATTGCTCTGGGGATTTTGTCCACCTTGACCTAACAGGCAGCGACCTTCCAAGATGTTCAGCTGCAGATATTCTATTATTTTTATCTCCAAACTAGGACTTGAAGCTATGGTTCTCATTAAAGGTTTGTCATTTTTCTCTTGGTCCCCATATAATTTTTAGCATAGATGGGGCAAACTGTATGCTGTGTGCTTCACCTAAGGCTTGGGCAGCTCTCGCTAGGACATGGGGCTGTCCAGGTCTTGCGGAGTGAAGGACCATGCCTCTGATAGCGTCCATGCTTTGCTCGAGTGGGGGCTGTGGTCCAGAGTCCCACCATCCACTTTGGGGGGTGGTTTTGTGTATTTTTGCTCAAGTGGCAGAAGAGCTGGTACCCAAAGGTGTAGTGATTTGATACTGCTAAAAGTGAAACAAAACAGTCAGATTTCTGATGCTGCTCACAGATAACCTCAATAATACAGCGTGGTCAGCTGCAAAGGTCCCCACTTTCAGTGCTGAGCACAAGGTGCATGTTGCATTGATAGGAGATGCTGGAGACCTCCTCACGCGTCACCTCTCTATCCCTGGCATCCTGGGGTGGGGGCATCCCCTCTCTCTGCCCTGGCTCATTCTCCTGTCCCTGCTGCAAAGTGGCTGGGGAGAGTACAGATCCCAGCACGTCAGACAGAGCAGGACGTGGTCCTGTGCCAGGCTCCTGCCCTCTTTTTGGGATACACTGTGTG